GACCTTCACAAATCGACTGTCAATCTCCGGACACCTACCCCAGCTATTACCGCGGCTGCCTTGTCATTGCCACTTCATCCACACAATCTGTACCACAGCGTCTCTCCTGAGTGGAAAAACCTCGCCGACGCCAATTGAGGACTCTGCCTTGACCTTCCCCTTGAGAGCGGATCCCCGCTCTACGGAACCTTCCACCGGGCCACCGCCGTAGGAAATATTCTCTGTTTGATGCTCGTAATTATTTGATTCCATTAATTTTTAACTCCATTAATTGTTTGATTCCCGTTAATTATTTGATTCCCGTTAATTATTTGATTCCCTTAATTGTTGACTCCATTAATTGTTGACTCAATTAATTGTTTGATTCTCATAATTGTTTGACTCCCGTAATTGTTATTTGATGTTTGTGTGAGTGGTGTCAGAGTTTTGTGTTATTTTCATAGTAAAAGAGATGTCAATCTCGAACGGTTGTTTGGTATTCCCCGGAAAACCATGGTTCTCGACTTTCCTTTTACAAGATCCTGATTAGGCTGGTAAGGGATTCATATCCCTAAGTCCCAGACCTTTACAACACGGTTATGGAGTCTGGATATGATCCGATGTTGAATCTCTTTATCGATATCCGCAGTGGTGGACAGGTGTGGGGAATGGTACTAGAAGTGGAAACATTAGAAAGGGTAGTACCATTATGTTGTATGGGTGGTGGAGGTGTGGTTGAACTAGAGGCAGGCTGAAAGAGATTCGGAGTGATACGCGCATACGCATTTGTGTAGGTGTTTAGGATATCCTGTAAGTCACGTTCAGTGTGAACGACGAGGGTGAGGTCGTCTGCATACTAAAGTTATGTGATGGAAGCGGCTGACACCTTTATTCCGGCCTGGATTCGTCTTTTTTTAAAAGTCCCTTCATCCGGTACTGGATGTCTACCCCGCTGGCAATTGGCACTGGCACGAGTAAAGAGGGCAGCTAAGATAATGGAAAAGAGAGTTGGTGCCAGAACACCTTGTTTTACTCCTGTATGGATGGGGGAGAACTCAGACTGGGTGCCATTGTGGAAGAAAGACACTGCCGTTCATGAAATCGTGGAGTTGCCTCACATTGACAATTAATTTTCGTGGACAGCCGAACCGACTGAGGGTCCGCCAGAGGGCTTCCTTGTTGACCGAGTCGAGGGCCTTAGTAAGATCACTGAAGGCCATGTGTAAGTCACGATGTTGTTCTCTGCACTTTTCATGAATATGTCGGCAGTAAGGAATATGTCAGTGGTGCCACTTGACGGTAAGAAGCCACATTGAGATTCTGGGAGGAAGTAGTCTGTTTAGGAGGACTTGGGCGATAATCCTGCCAGCTATGGAGAGCAGTGAGATCCCGTGGTAGTTTCCACAATCTGACCGGTCTCCCTCGTTTTTAAGTTCTTTGGGTATTTCCTCCTTCTCCCATATATTGTCTAGGAGAGGGTGGAGACGGCTGGTAAGCAGAAGTCATTCTGCTTTATACATCTCGTCTGGGATTCCTTCAGGTCCTGTGGCTTTGTTATTTTTCGCCTGTTTGATGACAGTAGCTACCTCATCCAGGGATGGAGGATAGCTGAGGTGTCAGCTCTGGGTGCTGAGGGACCTGCTGTGTGGTTAGAACATCCACATCGGTGTTTCGGTTGAGCAGTGAATAGTAGTGCTTTATCCAGCGCTGATGGGTGCCTTCTTCATGCCTACCTAATTAAAGAATTAGGTAGTTACCATCAGATCAGCCGAGGGGGCCACGCTATGAGTAATTGGGTCATATATTGTTTTAGCGGAATTGAAAATTTCATGCACCTTGTGTTGATCTGTTTTTTTTTTGGTTTTTTTTCTCCTCTCTCTCTCTCTCCATTTCGCACGCTTTATTTTTCCACCAATTATTCATTAGTTTGTGAAGTTCGAGCTGGACTTCCGCTTTTTTCTTGTGGAAGGTCCGAGACTTAGGGTTGCACTGCTAGTCAGATAGAGCAGAACGTTTGCTATTGATGAGTACTTCAATTTCCGGGTAGTTTTCATCAAACCAATCCTGTTGTTTTCTTTCAATCTGGGAGAGGGTCTTTTATGCAGGATTTTGTGATGACAACTTTAATGGGACCCCATTCGGCACTGGGATTTTGGTTGTTTTGGGCTGTTTATCAGCCCCTCGTTGAGCTGCTCTCTGAATGCATGTGTTCCCGCTGGATCCTCCAGTCGCTTGGTGTTAAAGCCTCTTCTGGAGTCTTGTTTTCTTCGCCGTTTTGGGGCATCGTGAAAGGAGAGTTTGAATCCGACGGCCCGATGATCTGTGTCTCAGTGGTCTTAGCCAGGCATGCCACAGGTGATGGAGATAGGTGTTGGTGATAGTGAGGTTGTGTTCAGCACACTTGCTAAGGAGGAATAGCCGTTGGAAATACACTTGCCTACTCCGTTTCTCCTTTTGGTTTCCTGCCATATGTCAGCATCTCTGCCAACTCAAGCAATGAATTCACCTAGGAGCACCACCTTATCTTATTTTGGAATAGAGGTTAGCACTCTGTCTAGTTCGGTATAAAAGGCCTCCTTGATGTCATCCTCTGCATCCAGTGTTGGGGCAACACTGGATGCGGAAGACAAAGCATTAGTGATTCAGTTGGGCATAGAGCGTCATGAGGCGCTAGTTGTTCCCAACACGCATTTCATTTAGCCTGTGTAGAATGAAATGGCGAGTTGTAAAGCCAACTCCGCCAATGCAGTTTATCTCCACAGCAGGATTACCCTTCCAGAAGAAGGCATAGCCGGACCCCGTTCTGTGCGTCGTTCCTTGTCTGGGAGCCGGGACTCACTAGTGACTGCCATGTCAATGTTATATATAGGCTGCTCTTTTGCCACAAGAGCGGTTCTTCTTTCAGGATGCATATTTGTGCCAGTATCCAAATGGGTCCTGATATTCCATGCAACGACTATAAGAGTTTGTTTTTTCTTTGATCTGTGAATATGATTGTTTTCGATCGTATTAGGATGACCTTACTGGGTGCCGTTGCCCAGTTAAGCTATTTTTTTTAGGCAGGCTATGTTTAGGACACACACACACACACCCGAGTACACCGCCCTCCAGGATCTATTAAATAGTCTCCAGAATTGGGCCACCAACAACTACGTCACCATCCACTATACGAAGACCATGGTTATGCACATCAACCTCTCCTCCGATGTTGTCCCACCTCCCTCCATTACTTTGGGCCCCAACACACTCCAGGTAGTAGACTTCACTTAGCTCCTCGGCGTCACTATAGATAACAAACTAAATTGGAAAACACACGTCAGTAAAGTTGTCAAATCCTCCAATTTTCTTCTCCACCTCCTCCGCCGACTCAAGTCTAGTTCCTGCGCCCGAGCTCCTCAGTGTTTACTCAACATTTATACTTCCTAAGTTCATCTGTGACTCCCCTGCCTGGTTTTCCTCCCGAAATGCCACACAACATAAACACCTAGAAAAAGTGCACATGAGGGCATGCAAGATTATTCTCTCCTCTTCCTGCTCCACATATCAAGAAGTGCTCAACACACTGACCCTCTCGGCTCTCTCTGATCATCACCACGACCTCATCTGCAAATTTGGTGAGAAGCTTCTGCACAATCCTGGACACCGGCTCCTACGTCCACCCGAAATCCCTCGTCGGCGAATTGCTGTTCGACACCACAACCGCATCCAGCCCATATGAGCGCGTATTGATCGCTATAAGAACAGCCCAGTCCCAACCATTGTAAAAATTATCAACATCTCGTAATCAACCAGTGTATTCACTCTGTCAATCTAACCTTTTTGCACTATCACTATGTTAAAATGCCCTGTAGTATAACCTTCTCCCCACCTAGTCATTATATATCATATTTGTATCACTTATTTTACATTTATATTATTTGTCAACAAGTGACCCATTCCCCAATTATGTAACTGTATATTTTCAGCCTTCCAGCTGCCCTGCTCTTTCAATAAACCGTTAATTATTATTACTATTACTATTACTATTAAACACATACACACAACACAAGGATGGTGAATGGATCCGGCCTGGATATTCCCTTCATAAACTCACGGCTTCTTTTATAGGTAATACCAATTTACGAAGGACTTCAACACTATATGGTACTGACTTTGTTCTGTTTTTGTTTTGTTTTTGCTGATGAATGACTATCAACTCCAGATAGCTTTAATTTGTTGGTAAGTCAATGTTCAACCATGGTAGTGACTATGACCTTCCTACTCAGAGCAATTACTTTCTATCAAAATTCTACATTTTCTTTAACATCATTTGCATGTGAATATAAGCAGCTCATATATTCTACTGTTCATATCTTACGCATTTTTTTTTACTTAATTTGTATTTATTCATGTATTCAGGTTAACTTGGGGGATATATTGGATCAAGCCTCCGTTTGTTTGTTTGTTTTTTTTGTTTTGTTTTTTTTTTGTTTTTTTTTTGTATCTGTCTTTCCGCAGACAATATAGTTTCCCCATGATAACTTGTGTTTCTAATAACCAAGCATCACGGACCTTCACTAAGCTATTGTACTGTCCCTCAGTCGAACAAAGACACTTAATTTTTTGGCCAAGGGTCAAAGCTTAAAGTCACTTGTAGTTAATAGTTAATTCACAGCTTTAGTTATTGTTGATATCCTCGCTAGATTTTTTATCAACAGTGGTGCTGGACTCAGTAAATTAGATTTACCATGTAAACAAAACCAATGCAATTTGTAGTAAAAATTTGCTTTGTTTCCCCTTTACTGTCAATCATGAAATATGCAATTCAATATTTCATTATTTTACATGAAAATACATATGAATACATGTTAAAGATACATGGATAAGGATTTTATTTGCGTTGCTTTCATAACAATATATAATAATCGAGGGTGCGTCGATACAGTAACCATCAAGGTCTTGTGGCCAAGTGTATCGTTGGGTCGCGGTATGGGTGGGTACAAGTGCACGACGCCAGTGTCTGGTAACAGTGACAGCCGTGACACCAGCCAGACTCCACCTCGTCTTGCCTACCCTCAGTGAGAGACACTCTGCTAGAGTCTACATCATCCACACCTGTTTGTCTGACTGTCTGTGTGTGTCCGCTCTGTGTATCAGGTAGTCCGCCAACTGGTAGGTTGTTACCGTGGTTAAAGTAAGAGCCTAAATTCCCATCCAACTGTAAATCCATAGTGATAAAACTGGCGCCACACGAGCTTCTGAACCAAAATAGAAAGAGAGAGAGAGAGTTAATGCAACATTTGTGATAACCTGCTAAATATATTTACACGGGAAGTGCTTTTGAAGAGGGTAAATAATGTTGGTGTAGAGTAGCCTGGAGCCTCACTCTGACGGTCGCTTTTATTTGATGAAACTTATACAGTTTGAAAAGGAAAAAAAAACATTTAAGCACCAAGAGAATATTGCAGCCATTTTCTTTGTAGACAGTAGGTAGACAAGATATTCTTGCTGTTACGATATGAAATAATACCAGAAAAAAAATTACCTCGTAAATTTAGGTTGTGGAAAAAATCGAGTTATAGAAAAAAGCATGAAGTCCATTTTCGCTTAAAGTGTAAAAAATACGGTCACACCGCATGCTAAACTAGGTGAATTTTTCAGGTGGAAGTGATTTAAAATGACATCAAATTGAGTGGAACTAACAATTTTTGCTTTTTTATTCATTTAACCGAGCGAAAATTGCCGAGAAAAGGTGACTGCAAGTGAAAGTGACAGCCCACTGGGAGAACTAATACATGCACGTCATCACGTGTATAGACTGTGACTGTCGAGTGTTGAGAGAGAGACTATCGCTTCACCTACCAGTCGACAACACCTTGTTACCATGAGGCCCAAGATGACTGGGTAAGTCTAACTCTACCATCCATAAACTATATAAAATTATTCTGTTACATTCCAGTTTCTGTTGTTGCCCTTATAGTTAATTGCTGTTACCGTTGCTATCGAAAGCTGGTTGCCGTGGCTTTTAAATGCTGTTGTCGTTTCCTTCTGCTTTTGAGAATATTTCACATTTCTTTGCTGTAACAATCCATTCCTGGAAGGCTTTACCAAAGTTTGCTTGTTCCTTTTGTACAGTTGACATAGCTAGCAGGTTTGTTTGCTGCTGCTGCTGGGGTTTGTCTATTGCTTGTAACTACTTGCTCATGAAGAAATCTGTTGTGTGTTGTTAATAAAGGTATTGTCAGTATATCATTTTTGTAATGAGGGATGCTGATGTCTGTTGTTCTTGCTGTCTGTTGTTGCAGGAATCTGTTCTCATTTATTGCCTCTGTACGAGGAGACTGTTGTCTGTTAGTGGCACTGTTGAAAGTCTGATGTCTGTTAGTGCAACTGTCGAAAGTCTGATGTCTGTTAGTGGCACTGTTGAAAGTCTGTTAACTGTTAGTGCCAGTGATGGAGAAAACTGTTGTCTGTTAGTGACACTGTTGGAAGAGTCAGGAGAGTCTTAGTGTCACTTAGTGTCACAATTGGAGATATCCGTTCTCTGTTAGTGCCACTGATGGAGAAGTCACGTTGTCTGTTTGTTCCACCAATGAAAGTCGCTTATCTATCAGTGTCAGAATTGGAGAAGTCAGTGCCACTTTTTGGGGAGTCTGTTGTCTGTTAGTGCCACTTCTGGGAAGTCTGTTGTCTGTCAGTGCCACTGTTTGAGACGTATGTTGTCTGTTAGTGCCACTGTTTGAGAAGTATGTTGTCTGTTACTGCCACTGTTGGATAAGTGTTGCCTGTTAATGCCACTGTTGGAGAAGTATGTTGTCTGTTAGTGCCACTTTTTGAAAAGTATGTTGTCTGTTAGTGCCATTGTTGGATAAGTGTTGTCTGTTAGTGCCACTGTTTGAGAAGTATGTTGTCTGTTAGTGCCACTGTTTGAGAAGAAAGTTGTCTGTTAGTGCCACTGTTTGAGAAGTATGTTGTCTGTCAGTGCCACTGTTCGAGAAGTCTCTTGTCTGGTAGTGCCACTGTTGGAGATAAGAGTTGTCTGTTAATGCCACTGTTCGAGAACTATGTTGTCTGTTAGAGCCACTGTTGAAGAAGGATGTTCTTTTCTTGCCACTATTGGAGAAGTAATTTGTCTGTTAGTGCCACTGTTGGATAAGTGTTGTCTGTTAATGCCACTGTTTGAGAAGTATGTTGTCTGTTAATGCCACTGTTTGAGAAGTCTGTTGTCTGTTAGTGCCACTGATGGAGAAGTATGCTGTCTGTTATTGTCACTATTGGAGAAGTATGTTGTCTGATAGTGCCACTGTTGGATAAGTGTTGTCTGTTAATGCCACAGTTTGAGAAGTCTGTTGTCTGTTAGTGGCAGTGTTTGAGAAGTATGTTGTCTGATAGTGCCACTGTTGAATAAGTGTTGTCTGTTAATGCCACTGTTGGAGAAGTATGCTGTCTGTTAGTGCCACTATTTAAGAAGTATGTTATCAGTTAGTGCCACTGTTGGATAAGTGTTTTCTGTTAATGTCACTGTTTGAGAAGTACATTGTCTGTTAGTGCCACTGTTGAAGAAGGATGTTGTCTGTTATTGCCACTGGTGAAGAAGGATGTTCTTTGTTAGTGCCACAGTTGGAGAAGTATGTTGTCTGTTAGTGCCACTATTTGAGAAGTATGTTGTCTGTTAGTGCCACTGTTGAAGAATGATGTTCTTTGTTAGTTCCACTGTTGGTGAAGTATGTTGTCTGTTAGTGCCACTGTTGGAGAAGTATGTTGTCTGATAGTGGCATTGTTGGAGAAGTATGTTGTCTGTTATTGCCACTGTTGGAGAAGTCTGTTGTCTGTTCGTGCCACTGTTGGAGAAGCATGTTGTCTGATAGTGCCACTGCTGGATAAGTGTTGTCTGTTAATGCCAGTGTTTGAGAAGTCTGTTGTATGTTAGTGCCACTTTTGGGGAAGCATGTTGTCTGTTAGTGCCATTGTTGGATAAGTGTTGTCTGTTAATGCTACTGTTAGAGAAGTATGTTGTCTGATAGTGCCACTGTTGGAGAAGTCTGTTGTCTGTTAGTGCCACTGTTGGAGAAGCATGTTGTCTGTTAGTGCCATTGTTGGATAAGTGTTGTCTGTTAATGCCAGTGTTTGAGAAGTCTGTTGTATGTTAGTGCCACTTTTGGGGAAGGCTGTTGTCCGTTAGTGCCACTGTTGGATAAGTATGTTGTCTGGTAGTGCCACTGTTGGAGAAGTATGTTGTCTGTTAGTGCCACTGTTGAAGAAGGATGCTCTTTGTTAGTGCACCTGTTGGAGAAGTATGTTGTCTGTTAGTGCCACTGTTGAAGAAGGATGTTCTTTGTTAGTGCCACTGTTCGAGAAGTCTGTTAGTGCCACTGTTGGAGAAGGATGTTCTTTGTTCGTGTCACTGTTGGAGAAGTATGTTGTCTGTTACTGCCACTGTTTGAGAAGTATGTTGTCTGTTAGTGCCACTGTTTGAGAAGTAAGTTCTCTGTTAGTGCCACTGTTTGAGAAGTATGTTATCTGTTAGTGCCACTGTTGGATAAGTGTTGTCTGTCAGTGCCACTGTTTGAGAAGTCTGTTGTCTGTTAGTGCCACTGTTCGAGATGTCAGTTAGTGCCATTATTGGGGAAGTCTGTTGTCTGTTAGTGCCACTGTTTGAGAAGTCTGTTGTCTGTTTCTGCCACTGTTCGAGAAGTCTGTTATTGCCATTTTTTGGGGATATCTGTTGTCTGTCAGTTCCACTGTTTGAGAAGTATGTTGTCTGTTAATGCCACTGTTGAAGATGGATGCTCTATGTTAGTTCCACTGTTGGAGAAATATGTTGTCTGTTATAGCCACCTTTGGAGAAGTATGTTGCCTGATAGTGCCACTGTTGGAGAAGTGTGTTGTCTGATAGTGCCACTGTTGGAGAAGTGTGTTGTCTGTTAATGCCACTGTTGGAGAAGTATGTTGTCTGTTAGTGCCATTGTTGGAGAAGTCTATTGTCTGTTTGTGCCACTGTTGGAGAAGTATTTTGTCTCATATTGCCACTGTTTGAAAAGTATGCTCTGTTAGTGCCACTGTTGGAGAAGTGTGTTGTCTGTTACTGCCACTGTTGGATAACTGTTGTCTGTTAATGCCACTGTTGGATAAGTGTGTTGTCTGTTAGTGCCACTGTTGGAGAAGTATGTTGTCAATTAGTCCCACTGTTCGAGAAATATGTTGTCTGTTAGTGCCACTGTTGAAGACCGATGTTCATTGTTAGTGCCACTGTTGGAGAAGTATGTTGTCTGTTAGTGCCACTATTGAAGAAGGATGTTCTTTGTTAGTGCCACTGTTCGAGAAGTCTGTTGTCTGGTAGAGCCACTCTTTGAGAAGTATGTTGTCTGTCAGTGCCACTGTTCGAGAAGTCTGTTAGTGCCACTGTTGGAGAAGTATGTTGTCTGTTAGTGCCACTGTTGGATAAGTGTTGTCTGTTAATGCCACTGATGGAGAAGTATGTTGTCTGTCAGTGCCACTGTTAGAGAAGGATGTTGTCTGTTAGTGCCACTGTTCGAGAAGTATTTTGTCTGTTAATGCCACTGTTGGAGAAGTATGTTGTCTGTTAGAGCCACTATTGAAGAAGGATATTCTTTGTTAGTGCCATTGTTGGAGAAGTATGTTGTCTGTTAGTGCCACTGTTCGAGAAGTATGTTGTCTGTTAGTACCACTGTTTGGGAAGTAAGTTGTCTGTTAGTGCCACTGTTGGATACGTGTTGTCTGTCAGTGCCAATGCTTGAGAATTATGTTGTCTCTCAGTGCCACTGTTGGAGAAGTATGTTGTCTGTTAGTGCCACTGTTGGAGAATTCTGTTGTCTGTCAATCCCACTGTTTGAGAAGTATGTTGTCTGTTAGTGCCACTGTTCGAGAAGTATGTTGTCTATTAGTGCCACTTTTGGAGAAGTATGATGTCTGATAGTGCCACTGATGGAGAAGTGATGTCTGTTAATGCTACAGTTTGAGAAATCTGTTGTCTATTAGTGTCAGTGTTGGAGAAGTATGTTGTCTGATAGTGCCACTGTTGAATAAGTGTTGTCTGTTAATGCCACTGCTGGAGAAGTATGTTGTCTGTTAGTGCCATTATTTTTGAAGTATGTTATCTTTTAGTGCCACTGTTAAAGAAGGATGTTCTTTGTTAGTTCCACTGTTGGACAAGTATGTTGTCTGTTAGTGCCACTGTTGGAGAAGTATGTTGTCTGATAGTGCCACTGTTGGAGAAGTATGTTGTCTGATAATGGCACTGTTGGAGAAGTATGTTGTCTGTTAATGCCACTGTTGGAAAAGTATGTTGTCTGTTATTCCCACTTTTGGATAAGTGTTGTCTGTTAATGCCACTGTTGGAGAAGTATGTTGTCTGTCAGTGCCACTGTTCGAGAAGTATGTTGTTTTTTAGTGCCACTGTTGAAGAAGGATGTTGTCTGTTAGTGCCACTGTTGAAGTATGTTGTCTGTTAGTGCCACTGTTGAAGAAGGATGTTCTTTATTAGTTCCACTGTTGGAGAAATATGTTGTCTGTTAGTGCCACTTTTGGAGAAGAATGTTGTCTCAAAGTGCCACTGTTGGAGAAGTATGTTTTCTGATAGTGCCACTGTTGGGGAATTATGATGTCTGATAGTGCCATTGTTGAATAAGTGTTGTCTGTTAATGCCACTGTTGGAGAAGTATGTTGTCTGTTAGTGCCACTTTGCGAGAAGTATGTTGTCTCCTAGAGCCACTGTTGAAGAAGGATGTTCTTTGTTAGTGCCACTGTTGGAGAAGTATGTTGTCTGTTAGTGCCACTGTTCGAGAATATGTAGTCTGTTAGTGTCACTGTTGGAGAAGTATGTTGTCTGTTAGTGCCACTGTTGGAGAAGTATGTTGTCTGTTAGAGCCACTATTGAAGAAGGA